TACAATCACTTAAGAATCCGACATTTCATATGCACCAACCTAATATTTCCATAACGCTTTTATATGTTATATTTATGTCAATTCAATAACTTAACTTTTTTTGTATATCATTTAAAAATGAAATATTATTTCAAGTTCTTTTGACACAATTGTTTAGTTAATTTAACATATTATACTAGGATATTCAGATATTGTCTAAGCTAAAAGATTGTTGAGACAAGCGGGCGACTTAGTGGATTGTATAAGTGCAAACTGTATAAAAAAAAAACTCTGTGATTGATTTTTGAGTCTTTTTATGAAGTTTTATATAAACAATTATTTCATACATGAGTTTTTTTTTTAAATGTTTTCAAAAATCAACTCCTAAAATATTGGACACGCACAGTACGTGAAGAAAACTCTGAATATTTATTTATCTGCCATGGCAGCACAAAATTTGCCGTACATCTAAATTAGTTTTCTTCGTGGACGTGTATAAATGGGTGTACAGAAAACGCGATTCTATGGTACAACAATATCCCGAAAACTTCAAAACTAACAGTAAACATTACGTTAATGTCATAGTTTCCCACTCAGCGATGGAAACGAGTGTCATTAACAATATATTAGATTCGTCGGTCATGAGCTACTGCATGGACATGAGCATTGTAAAGTACGACATCGAAGTCTGCAAAACCTTCGAAACAGAAGAGTTATGTGTCATTAAAACAGCTCTGAGATAACACTCGCGGAAAGTCTCAGGTGATTTTACCATGACGAAGTTTTCCAGACAGAAAATATAAATTTTGCCGGCTCTCAAAACTAACGGCTGCAAGCTCCTTGTCATTACCATAATCATTAGCTTTTGCGACTTCTTGGGTGCTTCGTACCAATAACTGCTGTATCTGCAATATTTCGAAAGTGCTCGAATTAAACGCCGAGAATAAAAGAAGTACGTGTAACATGGAATAGTCAAGTAATGTGGAATATCACGATTTCTAATCTGTTAAGCATCAGATCAGAGCGAATAGCAATAGAATTATTAGCTACTCGAATCTTAATTGGCATCATAATTCTGGGAAAATTAATTTGTTATCTTCAATAATTTTTATCTCAAAAGAATCTTAGTGTACTCCATAATACCCGTATTTCCTCTGTCAAGCGCAAATATCGAATGATATTAATTGTAAACCAAAAGCGACTGTGATCTTACATCTTGTCGCGCATCTGAAAACTGTGATCTGCTAATCTCTGTCCTTCGAAACTGATAAAAAAGAGATAGAACTGCTGACCGCAGATGAAGCACACGTACTTCAGTACATTAGAGATGTCGGTATTTTGCCTGATCTCGAGTACAAAAAAATGTGCCTTAGATTTTTTTATGAGTATCTCCGATCGAGTATAACTTTACACAAAAGATGAACAATATATTCATTCTTGATATAAGGTAGTAGCCAATACAATTGTCGCTATCAATAAATCTACCGCGAACGGTATGCTAAATATATTTTCGAGAAGTTGCACGTACCTATATAATAAATAAATAAGGCATAAATAAGAAAATATGTACTAATGGAGGCTAAATTGTTCCTATCGTGTCAAGATATTTTTATATTTTTATTGTTATATTTATTCTAAATATTCTTTATCTACGAGCGGTGGCTCTTATTCCCATACTATATCGAATGTTAGAGATCGTCTTTATTTCCGTTACTAAGATTCGTGCTCGGAAATATCTGGTTACGAAAATAAAGCCACTAACGATAATTAATTTATTCTATTTGTGATTCCATGATATATTTACCTTAAGGGGGTAGTCTGGTGTAAAACGCAATAAACAAGCACTTTTTTGAGATTTTTTATTAACGAAA